AAAAGCACAAACCTCGATGGTTTTGTTATGGCAAACAAGTCTTCTAGAACCCTTAAATCTAAGCTATAGTCTAAATATGCCACTTTACTGCAAAGAATCCCAGAGAGGTTTTCTGTTGTCTGTCAAATTAAGTACAAATTACTTAGCCTTCCTTATAGTGATCACAACCTTGTTTTCTGTTCCTATCTCCCATTACCTTTATCTGTTTTACCTGAACTCCAGCCAAGCTGGACTGCTTACTATCCCTTTTCATATACTAAACTTACCTGTCTCTAGGCTTTTGCTCAGGTTAATTCTTGCCACCAGCGTTTCTTTTGAAGATGGTTCTCTTTCCTAGTATGCTCCATATGTACCTGTCAAAATCCTATCCTCCATCCAAAGCTTCTGCATTTATGAACCTAAATAAGTCTGTCCTAATCTAAACAAATAAGGTCTTTTTTTGTAGTTATTTTTTCCTCTTTTTTCTTTATAACCCCTATACCCTCATCCAGCTCCACCGACCTCCCTATGAACAGCTAAGTTCTCTCTTACCAAACCTTTCACTTTTCTTCAAGGTCTTAAAATGCCTTTGTTCCTTTTTTACACAGAGACTCTCTTCACCATCTACAATTCCTGGCCAAAGTTCCACTTACTCATCGTTCCCTTTAGAAAGTCTACCCAGACTTTGCACTCCAAACTCCACAGCTGGTGCTCCCCATGGTATCTTAGGCATACTCTATTATGACATTTTTCTTACTCTATTGTAATTCTTTATTTGGGTGTCTATGTTCTCCACTAGGCTGAATATCTTCCTGTCTCTGGTGCCTACTACAGTGCTGGCACTGAGCAGATGTTATACGTGATTGTTTTGAATGAATAACTGAATGTTAAGCGCATTGTCAAAGGTCTCACAGCAGAGCTAGGTCTCCTCATTTCAAGACAGATTTCTTTATCAGGTATTTCTATCCCACCCCTCCAATTAGATTGTAAGTGTCCTGGGAATAGAATATCCATGTTACTCGTATATTTCCTCTGAAGTACCTAGCACAGTAGTCTCTTTATTCAAATTATATAATTGAAATGATTTCCAAATATTAGCCATAGGGAAATCTAAAAGGGGGGAAACATCAACCATATCCAATAGCATCATTTAAGTTTGACTCCTACAGTATGAAACTGGAGATATAGTAATCATCTTCTGAGAATTAAAAAAAAATCCAGCCCAGATAAGTAGGGAATTGGTTATCAAGAATCCAGCTGCTGCTACTGGCTTAATTGTCTTTGCTTGGCACTATTTTTATAGTACCAGAAATGGAGTTTACATAATTCTGTTTCCAAATTAATGAGGAAGACATTCAGGTTTTAATCATATCCCCACTTTCTCTCCCTCCCCCACACACTGGAAAATAGAAGTAAGTCTCACAATTTGGCCTCTCTCTGGGCCTCATATATGAAAACATGAGCTCATTATTTGCTTGACTGGAATCAGGAAACCTCTGGGATAATATGTCTTCAGCCTGTCTAGTTGGTATTGTTTGTGAACCGAAGAAGAGATACAAGCATTTTTTTTCTTGTTCATGCTTATAAAAGATACATATAATAAAGAAGATTTGGAAAGTGCCGATTTTAAACAGGAAGAAGAGTATTACCCATAGTTCACTACCAAAAGATGACATCAATAATAATACACTTGACATATTTTGTCTTTTTTCTTGGACATTTTTGTATGTAATTGAAATTTTATCTATGACTTTGACCTGTGTTCATTTACTACTATAGCGTAATCATTTTCCTATATTATTAACTTCATAAACATTATTTGTTTTTGCCTAGAATTGTATTTTATGGGTGTATCATACATACATTTCTCTATTATTATATATCTGGGATCCATTTTTTTATTCCAAACAACATTTCAGAGAACATCTTTGATTATTATTCTTGGAAGGTATTGTCTTAAATACCTTCCAAAAGTATGGTATCAGAAAATATTTCCCAGAAAATATTTTAATCAATTTATAGTTCTACTAGCAGTATATGAATGGGTGTCTTTTTCACCATTACCACACTAACCTGGTTAGTCTTATTTTTAATATTTACTTAATGAGTCTTTCTAAATGGTTTGTTATCCTACCATCTAAAAACAGCCAGTTTGTGTCTTATCTTCTCCCCTCCCCTGCACCCACTTATTTTTAACTGGACTCTTTCTTCACAGGGGAAAACAGACCATCAAACATCCTTCCTTTTCCAAACCTCAAACCTGCCTTTCTTTGTGTCATGGAGGAATTGTCTCTCCATTTACCATCTTTAGGTTCTCCCTCTGCTGGATACTTCTTTTCACCACTGAACCTGCTCCATTATCTGCCATTAAAATAAAACAAAAAGCAAAGGGCCTGGCCTTAAGCCTTATTCTTTTTTAGTGCCACCATTTTTTCTCAAATTTATTCACACATGTGTCTCTAAAGAGTATTTATTTTTACATGTGTCAGCATTTCACTTTTCATTAAAAATATGTTGAAAGTAAACCAGTAATTTTGCTGAGATATGGTGATGTGATATAAGTTAGTGGGCAAAGGGAGTTTGCTTATTTCCCAGTACTCCTGTTGCTAAATTCAGTCATCTTTATGCTGTTAAGTCCATGGATACTAGTTGTCATCCTACCTGACCCCTAAATAGTGTTTGACAGGGTCAAGTTTCCTCCTTTGAATCTTGCTCCTTATGTGATTCCACACTTTTCCTGGTGTGCTGCTTTCCTCTGGTTTGGTTTCTGTGTGCTTTTCTTTTCTTTTTTTAAAATTTTTTTCCCCCCGTATTGATTTTAGAGAGAGAGGAAGTGAGAGGGAGAAAGAGATAGAAACACTGATGAGAGAGAACATCAATTGGCCGCCTCCTATATGCCCCCCTACTGGGGATTTGGCCCACAACCTGGGCATGTGTCCTGACCGAGAATCGAACCGGGACCTCTTGATGCATGGGTTGCTGCTCAACCACTGAGCCACACCGGCCAGATTCTGTGTGCTTTTTTTCACCCAAAACTGAGTGCTGGAATTATCTTAGGGCTCAGTCGTGAGTGTTTTTCTCATGACTTCCTTAAATGATCTCATTTACTCTTATGGCTTTAAATGTCTTTATGTCAAGGTGACCCAGATTTATATCTCTGGTTGTGATCTTTATAAAGTTCAACTTAATATATGCAAAATGAAATCCTCAGTCTTCTCCCTTTTGCAATAAGCTATTCCTCCACTGTTTACTTTATACAGAAATGGCAGTTCCATGTGCATATTTTTCCTGGTAACCTTGGAGTTATTCTTTTTTTTTTTTTTTTTTTAATCCTTACCCGAGGACATTTTTTCATCTTTTGTTCAGATAGAGCGGGAGGGAGAGAGAGGAAGAGAGAGAGAGAGAAACATCGATGTGAAGGGACACATCGAGTGGCTGCCACCCGCACGACCAACCAGGGCCGGGGACAAACTGCAACCGAGGTACGTGCCCTTAGCGGGAACTGAACCCGGGTCTCTCTGTACTGCAGGCCGTCGCTCCAGCCGCTGAGCCAAACAGGCCAGGGAACCTTGGAGTTATTCTTGACCCCCCACCCCGCCTTGTCATTGTCCTTTTTAACACTGCTAATACATTGTTCACTGGGCACTGTACTAAGTGCTCTTTTATATATTTTTTTCCTTCATCTGGAAGGCTTCATATGCTTAAGGAGCAAGTATATTGTTGCTAACAGTAAATGTCACTTTCCTCTGGGCACTAAATTTCCAGGTGATTAAAATTTTATTTTCTTTTTAGACTTCTCTTTTAATTTGTATTTAGTGTACCATGTAGAGACTATAGGCTATACGATTTCTACTTTTGAAACTTATTACAAACTTTTTAGTGGCTTATAACATTTGATAACTTTTTAAAAAAATGTGCCAGGAGTATATTAACATATTCCTGTATGTTTTCTTTTTACATTTTTAATATGGTATTAACTTCTCATTTCATTTTTTTTTTAAATCCTCACGTAAGGATATTTTTCTATTTATCTTCAGATAGAGAAGGGAGAGAGGGAGAGAAGAGAGAAAGAGAGAAACATCAACGTGAGAGGGACACATCGACTTTTGCCTCCCACACGATCCCAACCAGGGCCGGGGATGAACTGCAACTGAGGTACATGCCCTTGGCTGGAATCGAACCCGTGACTCATTGGTCTACGGGCCAACACTCTACTGCTGAGCCAGACCAGCCATGGCTCTCATTTCATTTTTAACAATCTTTTCTCAATATATGATCAAGCAGGATGGAGTATGCAAAGAGTTCATTGCTATTCTTGCTGGATTGCACCCTTCTTCTATGTTAAATCTACCTGTGTAGTGAGTTTATATTATATACTTTTATATTAATATTGTCACTTCATTGAATTTTAGCATTCACCTGGTATATCCCAGTTCATTTGACTTTCAACTTTTCTTAATGCTTTTGTTTTAGTTGTGACTCTTGTGAATAATACAAAGCTAAATTTTCTGTTCTTTTTATACAGAGTCCTCCAGTAGGTAGATGGGTTGGTTTTTATGTATTATCAGTCTTAAAATCTGAGTTTTTAAATTTTACTTATCAGTTATTAAATAAGTATTTTATTGGCACAAATAATTCTTAACCTGAAAATATTATTATCCCAAAGAAGAAAATAAATTTCTCATTATCTCAGCACCCCAAAAAATCAGTTACAACATTTTGCTATATGTCTATATATGAAGGAAGAAAGGGTGATAAAGAAGATAGAGAAGGGTGAAAAGGGAACAGATTTTCATGTCAATATCTTCAACATTATTGTTAATTTTCTTGTGTTATAATATCTCGTACTCTAAAGCAGGGAAAAGCAAGTATTCTTTAATACGAAGTATTCTTTGTTTTAGCTCCAAGCACAGTGCCAAAATTCAGTGAAGTGAAGTGATACGTAAACAGTCAGTAAATGTTTAAGAAATGAATAAAAAAAAGAAAAGAAGGTCTTAATTTTTTTCTCTCTCTCTCTTGAGATTTCCATGGAGAATGATTATCTGGGTCCCCGAAGAATCGAAAGTCTACAAAAAGAAGATGCTGATTGGCAGCGGAAAGCTCATATGGCTGTGCTCTCTATTCAGGATCTTACTGTCAAATATTTTGAAATAACAGCTAAAGCTCAAAAAGGTGAGTTTCCCAGTAAAATTATCCTTGTTTATTTTTGAAAATAGGTAAATTATTTTATATTCATAATAGCTATATTGAAAAGTATATAAAGACCACTCATAATCCTAGCAGTTAAGGAAGATCACTATTAACAAAAGTATATCCTTTCATTCTTTTTTAGACATGTGTTTACATATACCCCACTGTAAAAATGATAATAATAGTAATGGGGTATTGGTATAGTAGAATTTAACCTGACACTAATCATTCACAATTATAGACCCCACAGTAAAGGCACAGCCTCCAACAAAACTATCCTCATTTCAGATACTACTCTCTAATTTGGGAGTGGTCCTCAGCCCATCTGCACTTCCAACCAACTGGCTATACATTTGGAGGTTCCCACTATTGTTTTAGGTTCAGTAAGTCACTACAATGACTCACAGAACTCAGGAAAGCACATACTTAGAGTTTATAAAGTAAACAGATCAGGACAAGCCTAATGAAGAGACACATAGGGCAAGGTCTGTGAAGATTTTGTTTCTTTCTATTCCCTTCCATAGGTGGCCATAGAAATCCTTCAGTGACTATTTAATATGCACTTCAAAGTCACGGCTATTCATTATTTTAATGATCTGTTGATCTATTTAACTGGCATTAGTATAGGTTAACCTTCAGATTATTTTTTTTCAGCAAATCCACATTTCTTTAAATTTCATATAAAGCAGTTATTCCTTTAGAATGCAAGTGCTGAATGAGAATACTTTTCCTTGATTCTCCAGCATCATTTGGCATTGTCATTAAAAAAATAAAACCAACAATTTGATATGTGAAAAATAATATATTTTTAAATTTTTATCTTTGGTTATTATTGGGCATTTAACATTTTTGTTTTCATCTATTAATTGGAATTTGCATATTTTTTCTTTTTTAGTTAACATTTTTTTGCCTGTTTTTTTTTTTAATTTTATTTATTTATTTATTTATGTTATTTATATCCTTGTGTGAGGATATTTTTCCACTTATCTTCAAATAGAGTAGGGGAGAGAGAGAGTAACATTGATGTGAGAGAGACACATCAATTGGTTGCCTCCCGCATGAACCCGACCAAGGCCAAGGAGTAAACCGCAACCAAGGTATGTGCCCTTGGCCAGAATCGAACCTGCGACCTGCAGGCTGACACTCTAACCACTGAGCCAAACCAACCAGGGCATTTATTTTTTTTTATTGTTAAAAGTATTACAGATGTTCCCCTTTTTTCCCCATTGACTCCCCTCCTCCCTGCTCCCACCCTTTTGCCTTTTTTCTATCGTATTTTTTTTATTGATCTGTAAGAGCTCTTTATATTATATTCATTGATATTTTTACTATATTTATATTATAGTTAATTGTTAACTTTTTTACATCTGTTGCAAATATTTATTCCTAAATTTTCTTTTAACTTTCTTTGTTTATAAGAAATTTTATTTGTAAAAATCATCAGCTTTTAAGAATGATTCTTTTTAAATCTTTAAATTGTGTTACTTAACGTGTTGTTTTTCTTTGAATCTTTAAATCTTTGATGTCCTTTTGGTGGTTAATATGGTATAGAATGTGTTCAGATGCTTACTCAGCTGTTTCACTTCTATACAAAGTGAAATTTGATAGCTATGATAAAAATTGTCTGTAATTTGAACTGATTTCTGTTGAAGAGTAAAGTAAAGTAAATATGGTTAGTTTCTTGGATTTAACAAAATGCTTCAGATAGAATTATAGTTAACATTAGTGTTTGACTACAAAGTGCTCTCTCTCATTCTTTTAAGGTATATTTTAGTCAGTGATACTTTTTTGTTTTAATGTTGATGTGATGTCATTGTGTAGATGCTAGCAAAGGTGTCTGACATTGATACTTATTGCTTTTTTTTAAACTCATAGTTTCAGTCACCAAGGTTATTGTAGCCCATCTTTCCTGGTCCTGAAATCTGGGTATTTGCCTAAGCAGGTGGCAGAGTTTGAGTAGGCCATATTACTTGTCTGTTCCTATCCTCGGTCTTTTAGGAAAAAGTATAATATGATTAAGAATTTTTGAAAATCACATGCACTCCATTACTTTGCCGCCATTCTTCATCTCCTAGTTCATGTACATTTCAAATACACATGAAAATACTTTGCATTTTAAAATACATTATATTAACATGAGATATTACTATAGAACTTGCAGGCATCAAAAGGATAATAAGGGAAATACTGCAAACAATTATTTGCATACAAATTTAACAAAGGTGAAGTGGAACAATTTCCTGAAAAACACAAACTACCACAGTTAATACAAGGTGATAATAAATAACCTGAATATTTTTATAGCTATTAAAGATATTGGATTTGTAGATTAAAATCTTCCAAAAAAGATTCTCTAGGCCCAAATGGTTTCACTGGCAAATTTTACCAAACATTTGAATAGTAATGCGACTCTAAACAGTCTCTTCCAGAAAACAGAAGAGGAAGAAACACTTTCAATTTATATTAAATGAGACCTAAATAAATCCAAAACTACATAAAACAGTACAAAAAGAAAGAAAGAAAGAAAACTGCAGACCAGCATTCTACATAGATAGATGCAAAAATCCTCAACAAAATATTGGCAAATTTTTAAATATAAAAAAAAATACTTATAAAAATTAAAAATCATAACCAAATGAAGCTTATTCTCCCTGACAGTATGTGAACATCCATCAGTGTAATCTACCATATTGAAAGTCTAAAGCAGTGGTTTTTAACTGGGGGTTATTGTGCCACACAAAAAGACACTTAGCAGTGTCTGGAGACAATTTTGGTTGTTATAACTACATATAGGGTAGTACTAGCATCTAGCAGGTAGAGGCCAGAGATTGTGTTAAGCATTCTATGTTGCAGAGGACAGCCCACCCTAATGGCAAATAATTTTCTGGCTTATATTGTCAAAAGTGCTGAGATTGAGAAATCCTAGTCTTTAAAAAAAGCATAATCAATATATCAGATGTTGGAAAAGCATTCGGCAAAATATTAAATTGTATGTGCTAAAAATATTCGACAATAGGAAGGAATTTTCTTAATAAAGGGCATCTATAAAAACGCAAAAGCCAGCAAGCATCTCAGTTAATGGTGAAAGACTAAATGCTTCCTTCCTAAAATAGTTAAAAAGTCGAGATGTTCACGCTTACCACTGCTATTCAACATAATATAGTAAATCTTAGCTAGTTGTAATAAGGCGAGAAAAAGAAGCAAAAGGCATATAGTTTGGAAAGGACGAAATAAAATAGTCCTCATTCACAGATGATAACATTGTTTCTGTAGAAAAGTGTATGGAATCCGTTTTTTAAAACTCTTGTTACTAACAAGTCAGTTTCTCAAGTAACAAGAAATAAGGTCAGCCACAGAAGTGAATTACATGTAATCTATACAAGTAATGAACAATTGGAAATCCAAATTTTAAAATAATAACATTTATAATAACTCCTCCCAAAGCAAAATAGTTAGGTATAAATCTAACAAAGTGTACAGGGTTTGTATGCTGACAATTACAAAACACTGATGAAAGAAATTACCAACCTAGAGACTTCTGGTCAAGATGGTGGCGTAGGTAAGCGCGGTATCGTGTCCTCCCACAACCACATCAAAGTTACAACTAAACTACAGAACAACCATCATTGAAAACCGCCTGAAATCAAGCTGAATGGAAGTCCTACAACTACCGAATTAAAGCAGCAGCCACATCGAGACTGGTAGAAGGGGCGGAGGAGGATGGGCTGGCCCCACACCCACGTGTGGCGGATAATAATCAGAAGGCTAGCTCAGCTGGGAAGGTTCTCCCTGAGGACTGAGGGGTCCCCGTCCCACACCAGGCACTGCACTCAGGGTTCCAGTGCCAAGAAGAGAAGTCCCGGTAACTTCTGGCTGGAAAAACCAGCGGGAACTGAGGCTCAGGGAGGCTCAGGCGGCTGCAGCCCCAGGCAGCTCCTCTTAAAGGGCCGGCGCACGGACTTACTTGGACTTGCTCTCTCTAAGCTCAGAGGGGAGGCAGCTTGAGAGGTGCCAGAGACATAAGGGAAGAACTGAGCTGTTTGGCATTGGAGTGAGGGCTGGAGAGGGGGCTTTCTCCGGGACAAAAGTGCTGTTAGAGGCCTTTGTTCCTTCCATGAGCCCTTCCCTGGGGCAGCAGACAGCTGCTGTATCTGGTACCAGCAACCTGGATCACACTGGTTGCCCTGCCCTGGTGATTCCCTGAGGCCCCACCCCACCCAACTTTCAGGCCCACCCAAGCTGTTGTCAGTTGCTTAACCATAGGATTGGCCTGTCTTGGATCCTGCCTCAGGTTTTCCTAAATTCTTTCAAACAAGCAGCATCTGGTCTCATATAGCCCCATACCTCTTGTTAAGTAATACATAGAAACAAACACAGGGAAGCAGTAAAATGAGGACACAAAGAAACAGGTCCCAAACGAAAGAACAGAACAAAACCCCAGGAAAAGAACTAAGCGAAATGGAGATAATCAACCTAACAGATGCTGAGTTCAAAGTACTGCTTATAAGGATGCTTAATGAACTTAGTGAGAACCTCAGCGAACTTACTGAGGGCCTCAAGAGCATAAAAAAGGACCAGTCAGAAATGAAGGATGCACAGTCAGAAATGAAGGAGGCATTAACTGAAATAAAGAATAATTTACACAGATTCAATAGTAGAGTAGGTAAAGCCAAGAAGCAAACCACTGATTTGGAATATAAGGAAGCAAAAAACGCCCAATCAGAACAGCAAAAAGAAAAAATCCAAAAAAATGAGGATAGTGTAAGAAGCCTCTGGGACAACTTCAAGCATGCCAACATTCTCATCTTGGTGGTACCAGAAGGAGAAGAGAGAGAACAAGAAATTGAAAACCTATTTGAAACAATGATGGCAGAAAACGTCCCTAACTTGGTGAAGGAAACAGACATACAAGTCCAGGAAGCACAGAGAGTCCCAAACATGAACCCCAAGAGGCCCACCAAGACACATCATCATCAAAATGC